GGTTCCTCAACCACCACTGAAGCTTCCACCACGGTATCTACTCCACCAGGTCAGTCTGAATTAGTCATGCTTTTCTGGCCACTACTTTTGGTTTCTCTTGAGGTTTAACCTCCTATTGCTCTGTAGGATGCATAAAATATATTTTCATTTGAACAGGAAGTAATTCTAAGTGAATCACATCTATATCTTATTTTCTTTCTGGTTTGTGTTTTTTTTTCAGCTACGAAGTTTATTTGTGGCAGCTTGCTTTCGCATTTTTCCGGAACACTTCAGAGTCCTTTTTATCCTTCGAATTATCCAGATAATGCCGAGTGTTTGTGGCAAATACAAGTAACAAATAATTACCGCATTAAACTCACATTTAGAAGTATTCAGTAAGTAAACCACTTCTTGCCTGGGCAATAAATGGTTCCCAAATCTCAGCTACTACCAGAGTTCCCAAGCACATTTCTCCTGTTTATAAGTGAGTTATAAATACTACATGGGAATTGTGTGCGTGCAGCATCTTTTTTTATTATTTCTTCAGCACTTAAAAACTGAAGTTTGCCAAATGGATTTTTATATTCATGTTTCTCCTTCAGGTTGCAAGGTGGATGTCAGAACGACTATATTGAGATCTATGATGGGCCACCCAATACTTCTCCTCTGCTTGGAAGAATTTGTTCTGGTTCTTATCGCACATACACATCATCCTCAAACTTTATGACTGTCAGATTTCACAGTGACTCCAGATACTCCAGTAGAGGGTTTTATGCTGAGTATAATTCCTTTACAGCAGACCAGAGCACCAGTAAGTTTTCATTCTGTAATGTTTTCTTTGCTCAGAAGCTTTTATACCCTGGTCTTACTTGCTAAATAATTATTTGTTAATGATGTCGAACCTCTCCTACATAGATGATATTTCTACTTGAATTTCATAACTAGTTATTGACTGGTCACTTTCAGCAACAATTTTTTTTTTATTTAAAAAAAATCAAGTATCAAATTAATTGCCTTCATATATTTTCTACAATGGCTAGTTTAAATCAATTTTTCTCCTTATCATCTTATTATTCATACATTTTTTTTCTGCCTTTCTGGACAGATTTTCATAGAATCATAGAAATATTGGTTAGAAAGGACCTTTGGAGGCTTCCTAGTCCAGCTACTCAAAGCATAGCTACCACCAACACCAGGTCAGGTCCATTATGAATTTGTCTAGCTGAGTTTCTAGAAACATTCGAAGGATGAAACCTTCAAAGCCGCAGCCTTTCTGGGTGACCTGTTCCACTACTGTACTGCAGTCCCAGTGGAAAAGCTTTTCTAATGTGCACTCACAACCTCCCCAAGCACAAACGGTGGCCACCACAGATGGGTCTGTTGTCTTTGTAGCTGCCTTTCAAGAGGCTGTGTGATGCAGGTCCCTGTCATCACATAGCTCTCTCTACCAGAGGCTGAACTCTCCCTAAGATCATTGCTTTTTATGTCGTGGGCTCCATGAACCGTCATGAAGATGGCTTCAGGATCCCCTCCCACCCACGTAGTGTTTCTGCAAGCCAGTGTGCATGTTCATCTCTACAACTTCCACAACAGCTCTTGCATTCTTTTTCAGGAAATACTCCCATTTCTTAGCATTTTTGTGAGAGTGGTGATAGAGGATCAAGGTCTCAGCAAAAGCCTGTTGTAAGCTACATGTTTTTGACAGCAGGCTAATTGAAGGTTAGCTGAAGTTTGTCAGAGACTATTGCTTATTCATATCTAAGATGTAAAAATAAGTGGTTTGACTTATGAATTCTCTCACCTAAACGATAGCAACTATTGCATTTGTTGAAGTTGTAACATGCAAGCATTATCAAGTAACTGAAATAATTTATAATTCATATTTTCTTCCCTAGCCCTTGTGTGTTTGCCAACCTACATGCGTGCAGCTGTAAAAAGACACTATCTTGAGTCACAGGGCTACTTGACGTCGAACATCAGCTTGTCTGACTCTCATTGTAGACCAACAATTACACCCACTGAGGTTATATTCAACATTCCCTACAACAGCTGTGGCACACGTAGACAGGTTGGTGTCAACATATTTCACAAAGCTCTCCAAGTCTGGGCATGGAAACTTAATAAGCATTTGGAAAACGGTCGCAAATCGTAAAGGGTGTTGTAGCCCACAGGTATTCAAAACACAGAAAAGAAGCATGTGTTTCTGGAGGCTAAGGCTTGTTAAACATTCTTATTTATCCTTTCAGACTTCAGGTAATCGAGATATCTATTTCAGGTGATGTTCTGGAGAGCAAAGTATAGGAGAGAGTTAAGTGAACACTCTCACCCAGGATGTTTGGGACATGTTCTTTCTGACCAATACTAGGACCTGGCACCTACAGGGTTTTATAGTACAGGTTGTCAACATGACTACATGTGATAATTTTGTACTCATCTCATGTGTCAAATAGGGTAACGGTGAAACGATCACCTACTCCAATGTGATAAGAGCATCTGCTTCTGCTAACATCATCAGGAGGCAGAAGGACCTACGCTTGCACATCAACTGCAAAATGCTCCAGAACACTTGGGTGCAAGTGATGTACATTGCCGATGACATCCTTAATGTCACTGAGACCCAGTATGGCAGATACGATGTGAATTTGACATTCTACAATTCCTCGTCTTTCCTGTGGCCAGTAGATGAATTTCCATACTATGTTGGCCTGAATCAGCATTTATACCTGCAAGCTTCGCTTTACAGCTCTGACCCAAATCTGGTGGTGTTTGTGGACACATGCGTGGCATCACCTGATCCTAACAATTTTAAAACACTGGCCTATGACTTGATCAGAAGTGGGTAAGAAATTTATTTAAAAATTATTTTGAAAGTATCTCTATGAATAGTTCTGAAAAATCTTCATTTATGAAAGAGGTGATTTAGGGCCAGGGTACAATGTTTGCAATTCTCAGTACAAATATACTTCTAAGAAAGCAATTTTGGCAAAGCCTGAATGAAATATAATACAACAAAGAAGTGCCATTCAGAAGTTGCTGTCAAGCACTGAGATTTCACTCAAGGAGGCAGTGTAGAAACTGAGGTCTGAATTTGTTCCTGAAATAGATACTTGAAACATGGGGATGTCAATGGCACTACATTTCCGTACATCAGAATTAGTCTTGCAAATAGTTTCATGCAGCATCATAGCTAGAATACAAAATAGTCTGTTTAAAAGGAAAGGAAATTATTGCTATTCTAAAAACCTTAAACATATTGCTTGATAAAAAATGTGCCTTTTGATTTGAAATGGAAATGTTGTGGCCTCTTGTAAGGATTGGAAAACCGACAGTGAGCTAGAAGCATAAAAGTATGACTCTCAGTGTCCCAGTTTGTTGCAGGAATAGAAGGCTCGTGTGAGTTTATTTCCCTTCTATTTGAACTTTTCTGCTTCCCTGGAGTGTTCACACCAGTAACCTCAGTGCTGCGGTAACCTACTGCTAAGCTGGAAGTCAGGCTTGTATTGAAGGGACACAGTGCCTCCTGCCTGCTGCGTGAATGTCCTCCCTCTGACACTGCATATGAACCTGAAGAAGGTTTTTCTCTTGCTGGGGTTTCTTTTTATTCTATCCATAAAAATTCATATTCATTAACCAAGACACAGAAAGACTGTCTAGCTTTGTGAGCAGGACACTCACCAGGAAGATGGGGCAAACAGATTCTGATCATTTTCCAGTTGATTTTTATTCATGTGACGAGGAACTGTGCCAAAAGCAAATGTATTTACTGAATCTAAAATCAATAATATCCATCTATAAATATCAGGTGTTTTGGGATATCACTGCAGTATAAAATAAAGAATGAGAGGACATTTATTAAGGAAAAGAGCACAACACAATTTTTTCAAGATATAAGAATAATTACTGACACTTTAGAAATATTCTAGGGTAACAATTGTGGGTGAATTATTGTGATCTTTTCGCTTGGTGGTTAAATTAAACCAGAATGACTTGGATCTAGGTTAGGTAACTTGTTAGGCCAGTAATTGTCAGGAATAGTCAATTCTAAGTAACACGAAAGTTGGTCTAGTAATGTGCTCTGTGAAACATCCAGACTTCTCTGTCAGGTGTCGAGGTTCCTCAAGCAAGGTACTCCACAAACATCGAAAGACTAAAGAGCACATTTATTTCCAAGAAGAGATGTGTATCAGCATTAGTTTTGTCCTTCCAGAGTAGAAAAAGGCCCTTTCTTTTTCTGCAACAACCTGCAGGGGCCTCCTTGCAAACAGGTAATCCTGAAACACAGAAACCAGCAGAACCACTCATTATTTTTCAGCTATTCATGTTTACACAGTCTTTATTAAGCTATGAAATCTCTGTGCTGTATATGTTATTGTGGTAGAAATACCTTATTTTCTGTCCTTGCTAAAAACACAGTTTTTAACCTTCTTCAGTTTTCTTATACTCTTACCTTCTGATATGATGTTTGAACTTGAAACGTATTACATTGATATAGTGCAACAGTGTTTCTATTCACAATAGCAAAACAGTCAATTTTATCTCTTTCCAGATGTGTTAAGGATCCCACCTACTCTTCTTACTATTCACCATACCACGATGTCGCCCGGTTTGGATTTAGTGCCTTTTCGTTCGTTAATCGGTACATGTCAGTTTACCTGCGGTGTGAGCTGGTGGTGTGCAGGTACGGAGACTACTCCTCCCGCTGCTACCAAGGGTGCCTTAGTAGGTTCAAGAGAAATGCAGGCTCTTCCCATGGAAAAGTGGATGTAATTGTTGGACCCATTCAGCTTTGGAATGATCCTGCCGAGAACAGGAATGTTGGTAAGTTTAAATGGCTTAAATAACGTAAGAAATTGCATATGATTGTCTGTTTGCATGTCAGTTCAGCCATGAAATCCAACTCTGAAATACACCTCTGCTGGTTTATTCACAACTCTGTTAGAATTCTTACAAGGATTTTTTTATTATTGATTTTATGAAATTGTTTTATCAGGTTTACAAGCTATTTCCTTTCTATCATAGTTTATCATTATTTGTTCTGCACACATCAAATGGCAACTGATTCGGTTCTCTGGGAAGAGGGATGAGACATACCTCATCTCCCTGCAGGATTTGTGTTAATTTTTCAAAGCTGTCTGAGATTGATTGACATATCTCTTATTTATTACCTACCAATCGGTCACCTTGGAAATTTTGTTTCCCAGTGTGCTATAGGTGCTGTTTTCACTATCAGAAAACAGCATTTTATGGTCTTAGAATATAATAACTGCAAATTCTTAGTTGTTTTTTAATTTATTGCTATGATCTTTACTTGTTTGTTGTGGCCACAGGATCATTTGCAAAACAATGTGCAATAAAGCAATTTGATTTCTGATTCAATGCAGATTGCAACATTTTAATTCAAGTTCTCTTTGTCTAATTACCTTTGAGATTAAGTAGCTCAGGAAAACAAATGTAAGCCTCTCTCTCCCTCTCTTATGCACAGAGCTGGTCCCTGACACCCAGGTGAAAGAGGAGCCTGAGAGCTCGGCGCCTGCTGCCAGTTCCCATGTTCCTCTGGCTGTCACCGCTGTGGTGCTGGTAGCTGCTGTTCTCACTGTGGGAGGTTTTCTTCTGAAACGAAAACTGCAGGAACCCATCCCATACCAGATAATGTGAATGACAACCCAAGGCTTGCAGGTGGAAGATGCTGAGATGTTCACCAGTCATCTCCTTCAGGATTTGGTTCTGCAACCTCTGTAGAGGATAACTCTTTCTTGACTATTCCACCATCCAGATCTTGCTTAAAGAATGTACTGTACTAAGGCAAAACCCGGTGTTACCATGAACTGAACTTATAAAAGAGCCTGGCTTTAAAATTCTTAAGTCCACATATACCTAAGGTCTAAAGAAAGGTTGATTCTTCCATCTCAGCATCCAAAGAAGCTACCAACTTCAATGCTGGACATTTCAGAGCATCCTGCTTGAGTGTCTGTCTGAGAAGACTGATTTAGGTGACTTGAGAAAGAAGAACTGACTTATTTTGCCATTGCTGATATGCAGATAAAAAACTTGTGTAGCATCACAATCTGGAAAGTAGTCCAAGAAAAATCTTTCTTTGCAGTAAAAATATCTCAATAGTGATCCATAAGCAAAAATACACATGGGATGCACATAAGAAATCTCTCTTGTGCAGTGTTCTTTATTTTGGGGGGTGTGGTTCTTCACAATTACGTATTCCTCTGAGAAAATGTAGGCCATTTATAAGATTTTGTATAGTGGATTAATATAATCAAATCTGTTACATAAATGTGTAATTAAAAAAAAAGGCAGGATAAAAAAATTTTTGAGCAATACTTCTTTTTGTGTTCTTGCAAACATATCGTCTATGTGTCTGAGCTCCCAGCTAACGCATTACCAGGTTGGAGAATGTGGCTTCTCACAAAGTGACCTTGCCAAGCAATGATTTTTGCTCTTGTTCTTACACGTGTAATGTGGGGGGAGAGAACGTGCGACAGATGCCGCAAGGAAGCGTGAGCTGTCTCCTATCTTCATCTGAAAATGATACAAAAACAATGATAAAGGAAGAATCTGTTTGGAAGAAGCTACTTACTACAGGTGGAAAGGTCACTAGTGTTTGATTGAGAAATGCCCTTCTTTACACTTTCCTGTTTTCTAGCCAGCTACGAAAGAGGAAAGATCATTGGGAACAGTGTCACGTACTATATGAGGTGAACCAGCGGCAAAGTGATGACGTGTGATGAAGGTGAGCTGTCCTCTAGGGCAACATCCTGACCTGACAAGGAGGATGTGGGCAGCTCTGACAGGAATCATCATTGCAGCCTATACTGTTTCTTCCCACAAGCTGCCTATACCTGGTGAACCCAGACAGGCCTCTCATCGCCTCTCCACACTGTGGAGAAGGGACCATACAACAGGGACCGGCATTGCCGACAGAGAGTGGCAGTGAATTTTGGTGTCTAAAGGTGTCCACCTATGAATTGTCCTGGCTTGGAGGAATCCAGCTCAGCAGTGAAGACTTTCCTGAACCTGGGCTTTCCTGCTCTCTAGAAGACAACTTTCCTCTCTGCTATTCCCAGCCTTGTTGTTTTCTCTCCTGCTCCTGACTCTGCTGTGGCCTTACTGCTGCAGTTGTGCTACCCCACCATTTTTCAGGGCATAGCTTGGTGGCACTTTTCATATTCGTCTTTGAATATTATCATTATCAGACAAGCAGAAAGATCTAGACTTAGGATGTTGGTGCTTCCAACCTGCAATGTGCCTGTAGAGAGGTGTCTCTTCCCATGCTATTCTGTGCCAGGGGTCCCAGATGGAGATATACCAAGGTTGTGTCATAATGCAAGGTAGGAGTACCAAGTTCAGTAGTTTCCATATTAAATGTCATTGTAGAAAACACCACTAAGCTGATCAAGTAGTTGGTGCCTCAGACTCCGATTCTACCAGTAAATCCAGTGGATTTGACTCTCAGTGGCAGACAGTTCTCATCCACTTGCATCCTCTACACTGAACAAATGCAAATGAATTTGCAATGACACACTTCACTTGACACATGCAGCAGAGCCCAAAAGGCCATCAGGGAACCCAAAAAATTAGACTAAGCTGCCTCATTGTGTCTTAACGCATAGATTGAAACTATTGTTTCTTTGTGTAGAAGTCTGTAGATATCCTCATTCTAGTCTAGGTAGTTTCTTATAGTCATGGGTGAAAGATAATTAATCTTCTGTGTCCTTTCAGTGGGTTCCCTTTATACCTCACAAAAGCCAGTATGCCTGCAGAAGTCTCCTAACAATCATCAGTAGAACAGAAAGTGTTTTCAAAGTTTGGTGAAGCTTCTTTCACAGAGCACCATGCTGAGAAATGCTTCAAGCTGTTAGAGGAAGTCCTAGAGGGCAAAAATGTATTGCTGCAAGGGTCTTACCTAGCCCATGGGAAGAATGAAAACATGTACTGTGTGGTATTTGCATTAATTAATTAATTCATTCCAATGAATCAGAACATAACATTTATCTATTCCTACAGCGCAGAGTTTGTCTGATAATCAAGATCTCTACAGTTACCTAGATATTTGAAATTTGCAGTAAAAAATTAATTAGTAAGGAATGTAGAGAAGAATCAATTAATCAGTACTGCTCGGTTACCTGGACAGTTCGACGTTTTCATTTGAACTACCTGGGAATCGCTGTCGCATTCCCCTACCTCCCCACCCTTTCACAAGTGTTTGGAGAAGAATTATTATCCATCACTTACTTTTGCTTCACTGATTGCAGTGTTTGATTGGTCACTCAAATTTACTGAATGTTTTCTGCTTCTTGCCAAGATGTCAAAACCAGAAGAGTATGAATAGTGAATACCAGGTGTTGCGTACATTTCCTTATTCATGTACGAAAGTGGTTGCTTGTATAAAGAAAGAAACATATTTACACTTCTCAATGTTCACTTTCAAGGCTTCCAACGTTATCTTTGGCCTCTTGTGTTTTGCACTTCCTTCTTCCATTCCAATAGTGCTGGCCTTTGTGGAAAGACCTTCTAAGCCATTTTTCCCTTGGGCTCCTGGACTTTAGTCTTCATCCTTGATTCCTGCCTGTGGAGGCAATAAATTTGTATATGGCAACGATTGTGCCACAGATGTTAATTCCTGATAAATCCATCCAAGCCATGGTGGCTGTAGAGGTAGGAACCAGATGAAGAACAATATTCTGGCTCTTCAGTGTTAGAGTGGTCCTCAGCCTTTTCTTGTTAAATGGTCAAAACACAGAAACACAGGAAAGTAACCACTCTGGCAAGAGAGTGATGGATGAGAATTAAGCATTATTTCATGTTGTGGAAAAGCTTTGGATTCATCCTTCAAAGAATGACACAGCTGTAATTGTCACTATGCAAAATTAAACAAGGAACATATTAAGAAAGATTCTTAATAGAAACCTGAACCTTTTGTCTCCCATTTGATGATTCAAAGGATCAAAGAATATTTCAGAATGAACTTTAGTTGCAAAGTATGTAATTTACTTCACTATGCATAAAATCCAATTATTTTTTTCTGCACAGTTTTCACAAAACCTTAGCTGCTGACCCTGATTTACTTGACACTTCCCTGCAATCTAGCAGTCTTGCAGTGAATAGAGTTTCATCTTGAACTTAATCATGTCAGAAAGGAGTGGGTTCATGTTGGGACTGAAGGTGTTGGCTTCAACTGCAAGGTTCTTCAGAGACTCCCCAGTCATATCTGAACAGGACCACCAGGTCTTATTTTCTATTTCTTTTTTATTACTTCACTGGAGGAAGCCCATTTAAGTTTCAATATTCAACTACATTCCCCAGTCCTACCAAGGAATCTCCTCATAAAAGAAAAATACTGAGATTCATCAGCCAGAATTGAAAGGTGTCTTTGGATAGGAGCTAATTTTCTTTGTACAATGAGATGATTGTGAAATCCATGGTAGCATAAATAGTTCCTCTGAGGCAGTGGAAAATGACACTCTTGAGATATTATCTTTCTCCAAAACCCAGGAAGTTACAAAATCTTAAATAACAAATCAAACATATTTTTGTTTCAGATCACAGGACTGTAGTTGTTTTATTGTTCTTCTGTAGAAAGAGAAACCTGTAGAGCCACTCCCCTTCAGAAATAGAGACTATATATTGTGACGGTCCTTTCTGTCAATGAGACTTGAAGAGATGGGTACCACTATGATTTTGACATGGCTGCTCTTGTTAGGTCCAGCTGTTCTGGAGACCAAAACAGGTAAAGCACTTAGACTTGTTTCAGGGTGCATTAAAATAACATAAAGACTGCTTGGGCTCCCCTCTGTTGATTCCAGGAATAGCAATTACATTCATGCTGGTATCGGTTTAGTTAAAAGATTAAAAGGGAAATTGGATGAAAGAGACAACATGGTTTTATTCTGTTAAAGCTATGAACTGTGTATCATAGTGAATGATAAGAATTATTTAAACCATTTAGCGGAGTTTATTTTGCTTTCATAGGGTAGTGCTTGTCTTAGTGCCTTGCATCAACACAAAAATTGTGTCTGTGAGTTTGTTATGAACAAGTTGTTCTTTCCGTTCCAGAAATTTGATCTACGAATTATGGAAGAATGTATTTATTTTTTTTAAATGTAGCTTTATTCCAGAGTATATGAAAGCATACTTCTGCTACAAATATAATATACCTTGTATTATTTGTGACTTTATACAGTGAGATAGATATCAATGAATGAGAAGAATTATTTAAACCATCTAGTGGAGTTCATTTTGCTGCCACAGGATAGTGCTTGTCTTAGTGCCTTGAATCAGTGCAAAAATTGTGTCTGCATGTTATGAATGAGTCTTTCTTCCAGTTCCTGAAATTTCTTCTAAGAATTACAGAAGATATTTTTAAATATATATATATATTTATTCCAGAGTATATGAACACATACATCTGCTACAATTGTAAGATTTCTCGTATTATTTGTCTCTTCTTGATCTTAGGTACAATTTAATGAAATGTAACAAGAAGTTAGTTTTTATAATCTGGCACTGTGGATAAATGAGGGACATGTAAAAATAATGGAAGACATGAAACACTTTTACTTCAACTTTTTTTTCATTTACTTTTTCTTTACATTATTAGTTTCTATCTCCTATGTGACTGATGACTTTGAGCTAAATAGTTCTGTGTATATCCTAGAATAATGGTGGGTGATTTTTCTAACTAGCTATTTAAGCATCACTATGATAATTTATATCACCATCATCCACCTCATCCATTTTTCTCCATCTGCCCTCTGCTTGCCGGGTGCTAAGCCATCTCACTCTTGCTGCTCCAGTTCTCTCTGCTCCTGGCTTCATCCCCATTCTCTCTGGCTCCTGGGTCAGAGTAAGTGCTGTATTTGTATAACCACAGGGTTTTGTCTTTTTAACACCTTTAAAGTGTGAGGCAGGACACAACCTATCTAGTTACATGCCCAGCTGATGATTCTGCTCCTATAGCGATGACAGACCTTGAATGAAAGCAAATAAAACTGGCTTAGATCAGCTTTCATTTCCTAATCCCACTTTGACTTTTTGCCAGGTTTGCTGTTTCCCTTTCAAAAATCCTGTGAGTGTGGTTCAAAAATGTTCATGTCCAAGTAGATATTTGAAGAAACAAATCAGATAGAAGTCAAGGGGCACTTTCACAGCGTCTCCCTTTGAACTGCTGGTTAAATGCATAAAAATAGGAACAAATTTGGTTTGGATACTGTCTTGACTGTTCTTCTAGTCATCTTGAAATAGATGCAGTGAAAAAATCCTAAAGCTGCTAAATTCTCAGATTTGTTTTGCTTTGGATGACTTATTCATTGTTTAATAACAAACTAAAAATATATTTGGCAGAAATGCAAAGTATAACAAGTACAGTGCATGTCTTGAATTCCAAGGTGTAAATACCACACCTCTTAAGTTACAGCACTTACTTGCTCACTTACACTTTGTGCTAAAGTCTTTAATAAATTTCTTCACTGAAAATGGATCTCTAAAATCAGGATTGTCATGCTGTTCACTACAGCATTTTTTTACAGCTATTTTCTTAATACAGGTTTGCTTAGATTTCATTCAGGGACTGAAGTTCATTTTCTCCCCTTTGATTTCTTATTATGCTTTTTTTCTTATTAATGAATTTCCCTTCTTGTTGAAATAGTTGGTGCTTAGCTTGCAGTCCAAATTTTCAGTAGAAATCTTGTGCAAAACATACACAGCTGATTTTGAGAACTGGAAGACAGGAAGAAAAGGGGTGCATCACCTCTGTCCTCATGAGCCTTTAACATTGGTCTAGGACAAAATAGATGACTTCCTGAGGTCAATTCCAGCTCATTTGCCTGACTGTGTTCGTGCTCAATTCCCTCTCTCTCAAAGTGAGCCGTCTCGAGCTGGTGAATGGAAGGCACAGATGTGAAGGTCGCGTTGAGCTCTATTACAAAGGACAATGGGGGACAGTTTGTGATGATTACTGGGACCTTCCCGATGCCCAGGTTGTGTGCAGGCAACTGGGATGTGGCCGGGCCATTGCAGCTCCAGGAAGTGCTTACTTTGGGCAAGGCTCCGGCCCCATCCTGCTGGACAACATGAGATGCAATGGAAATGAGGTCTCCTTGTCACATTGTAATCACACGGGATGGAGGATTCACAACTGCGCCCACTATGAAGATGCTGGTGTTGTCTGTTCAGGTGCTGTTCACATTTTTCTATTCATAAATACTTTTGCTATAAATGCATGTGTCAGCATGGGGATATGGAGACATTCTGCTCCTGAGATAACATTTCATTCATTCAAGGCATATGGTGGAAAGTTATACTAGATATGTGTCTAATCTTTCTTTTCTGCTGCTAGCAACCCTAAAGCTCTCGGCTCCATGGCAGGAGCCTGTAGAGGACATCCTCTGGCCACACCTGGGCCATGGTGTCCTGTGGCTGTGAGCAGGTGCCACATCAGTACCTTTTCCTGCTGTCACCATCCGGAAATGTCACTTTCAAGAAAAAATGTCAATTATTCCCCACTGCCATTCTCTCCATTGACCTCAGTCAAGATGGAGTATGCCATCGGAGTAATTTGTTATGATTCCACTTCATTCTTGAGGAACTGGGCTTGTAGCTATCACATGGATATACCCATTGCACAAACATGATCCTCATGTGGGTGGTGTTTTTCTGCCATATTCACAGAAGAAACTACTAGAGTGCCAACATCCTCATCAGTGGAGATGACCTCCGTAGCTGAGTCGAATTCCATTGAAGAGACAACCTCCATATATGAGACAACCACCATGACATCTCTAGCAGAGACCTCCCCAGCATTAACAACCTCCACAGAGGAGATGATAACCCTAGCAGAGGCAGTCACCTCAGCACCCATGACTGACATAACAAAGGCATCCACCCTAGAGGTGACAACCACCTCAGTGCCAATGACCTCCCTAGCGGAGATGTCCTTCCTAGCAGAGACAGCCACCATAGCACCAACAACCTCCATGCCAGAGACAACAGTCATGACCAGCACAGTGGCCATACCTACCAGAGCAGAGACGAGCACATCAGGTAATGCTGTCCACTGTCACTCACTGATTTCCTTAGTGCCCCTGATCTCCCTTCCCAGACCTGATTGCACTGGAGAGAGTCTCCCATCCTCTGTAGAAATTGTTGGTGAAGGAAACTGTTTAGGGAGGGATTTCCTCTCACTGCAACTGTGGGGATTGTGACAGGGGATCATTCTGCCTTCACCCCTCCAGTTCCTGCAGAGGTAGTACCATAACTATCTCCTACACATCCTCTGGGATTTGGGATGTGACTGGAAAAGAGGGAGATGCTGCATCAAATGTTTTGTAATGCAAGTTAGTCCTCTATGGTTATGAGGTTCCTGCCCAGGGAGCAGTTGACTGTGTGAAACAGTCATTATGGTCATATCAATTGAATGAAAAACCTCTGCATGATGTGAAATGCCACAGGACAGGGACTCCTTGAAGATGGGCTACATTGGGGTGCATGACATGCAGTGACTGTGTTCAGAGGCTTTATAATTGACACCAAATTCTTACATGTATCCATAGCTTCAGTGCCCCCCACAGCCTGGCTATATGCAATAAGTAATTCATGCTCACCAGACCCGTCCCTCACCTTGCAGTAACCATGCAGGCTCCCCACTGTAGAAGCCCATCTGGAGACCGCATGGTTGTAAATGGCCATGGCAATAGCCATGAGCCTGCTGTATTTGTTACCCTTCCATTCACTTTCTCTTATTCCTTGCAGAAGTAACAAACACTCCTGAAGTTTTGCCATACGCAACAGGTAATCCATGCTGGCCCAGCTAATGTCCGGCCTTGCAGTGAGCCCCAGCCAGACAGGACAGGAGAAGAGTGGGGGTTGTGCTGGCTTGAGCCTACTCAGTACAAAGCTGCTGCTCTCCCAGCTCATGGTCACTCTGGCCAAATTGCTAAAAGTGTCAGGGAGGTGGGGGCCGTGGGTGCTGGGGTGGAAGGATCCTGATCCTGTGCCATGTACTGTGTCCTAGGAGCCCACCTGCGTCTCTCCGGAGGGAGGAACGGCTGTGAGGGCCGCGTGGAGCTGTACAACGGCAGCAGCTGGGGGACGGTGTGTGACGACCAGTGGGACCTGAGAGATGCCCAGGTGGTGTGCCAGCAGCTGGGCTGTGGCCAGGCCATGGCCGCTCCAGGCAGCGCACACTTTGGCCTTGGCTCTGGGAGCATCTTCCTGGATGACGTGCAGTGCCGCGGGGACGAGCCCTCCCTCCAGATGTGCAGGCACAGAGGCTGGGGTGTGCACAACTGCGCACATGTGGAGGATGCCAGCGTCATCTGTGCAGGTACATGGGCAACAGAGACCACCGGGTCACCCACACATCCCACAGGACTGGTTTGAGTGCCCTCTTTGGGAGAAGCCATGCTTACCTCCCTTGGTAGAGCTGAGATGGAGCAGTGAGGATGCGGGCTTTGGGTGCCTGGTGCTGGAAGCATGAGTCATGCAAAAGCTGTGCATGGAGGGCACAGCACAGGTGGAGGTGCTTGGTGCAGTGGCAAAAAGCAGAATTGAGGAATCATGGTGTGAGGAGGATGTAGAAGCACTGGGGGCACAATGTGTTGGTTTCTGCATGAGGAACGGTAGGACAGAACCCTGTAATTGCTTTCCCCATTAGTGCTCCAGCCTTGCTTGCCCATGTCCGTCCACTGCCATTTCCACTGCCACTGCCAAGAGTCTATTGCATTTGCTACTCTTCCATTCACTTCATCTTTTTCGTTACAGCTACACAGTCAAACCCTCCTGCTGAGTTGCCGCACACAACAGGTAATCCATGCTCACCCAGATTATTCCCAGCCTTGTGGCAAGCCCCAGCCTGACACAAGAGAAGAGGGGGGGATGTGTTGCCTTGAGCCTGCCCAGAACAGAGCTGCTGCTCCTCTCTTCCCGTGACATTTCCAGGGTGCATGAGTGGTCCCCCTCAGGGGATGAGCCATGCTGAAGGTGTCCAAAGGGTTTTTATACAAGTGCCCCCATGACCCAAGCACCTCTGAACGCAGGCAACTCCCTTGGGAGCCGTCAGCTCGTCCCTGGGCAGGGTGAATCTGCCTCTGCATGCGGGGGGTCTTTGCTCAGTCACTGCCCTCCCCTGGTCCTTTCACACCTGTAATAACTCAGCTCGTGGTTACTGTGGTCAAATCCCCCAAATCATCAGGAAGGTGTGGGTTATGGGTGCTGGGAAGAAGAGACCCTGACCCTGTGCCGTACGCTGTGTCCTAGGAGCCCACCTGCGTCTCTCCGGAGGGAGGAACGGCTGTGAGGGCCGCGTGGAGCTGTACAACGGCAGCAGCTGGGGGACGGTGTGTGACGACCAGTGGGACCTGAGAGATGCCCAGGTGGTGTGCCAGCAGCTGGGCTGTGGCCAGGCCATGGCCGCCCCGGGCAGCGCACACTTTGGCCCTGGCTCTGGGAGCATCTTCCTGGACAATGTGCACTGCAATGGGGAAGAGTCCTCCCTCCAGATGTGCAGGCACAATGGTTGGGGCGTGCACAACTGCGCACACATGGAGGATGCCAGCGTCATCTGTGCAGGTACATGGGCAGCAGAGGCCACCAGCACACCCACAGATCCCACCATGTGGGTCTGTCTGTTCTCCCTTAGGAGAAGTTCTGCTTATGTCCCTCAGTAGAGCTGTGACAGAGCAGTGAGGCTGGGGTCGTTGGCTGCTTAGTGTTGGGAGCACGAGTTGTGCAAAAGCCCGGTGGTTGCACACACGCACAGCAGGCTCTGCACGCTTACAGGTGGAGGTGCTTGGTGCAGTGGCAAAGAGCAGGATTGTGGGATCATGATGTGAGGAGGATGTGGAAGCACTGGGGACACATCAGACTGGTGTGTGCATGGGGAACAGCAGGACAGAGCCCTGTAATTACTTTCCCCATTAGTGCTCCAGCCTTGCTTGTTGATGTTGATGTCTGTCTCTGTCCATGTCCATATCCATTGACATGTCCATTGCTATGAGCTGTCTGCATCTGCTGCCTTTTCATTCACTCCATCTTCTTCCTTGCAGCTGCACGTGCGAGCCCTCCTACAGAATGGCCATACACAGCAGGTAATCCATGCCCAGGCAATTAATTCCCAGCCTTGCAGTGAGCCTCATCCAGTATAAGAGGAGAGGAGAGAGAGGAGGCCAGATTTGCTGGCTCCACCTGTCCAATGCAGGGCTGCTCCTCTCTTCCTGTGACATCTCCAGGGTGCACAACTGGTATCCCTCAGGGGATGGGCCACTCTCAAGGTGTACAAAGAGTTTTTCTGCGAATATTCCCATGACTCAAGCACCTGTGTACGCAGGCAGCTCCCATGGGCCCCCCGCTGGTCCCTGGGCAGGGTGACTCTGCCTTCTGCATGACAGGAGTCTTTGCTCAGTCACTGCCATCTCTGGTCCCTTTGGCTCTGAATCACCCAGCTCATGGTCATTGTGGCCAAATCCTCAAAAGTGTCAGGGAGGTGGGGACCATGGGTACTGGGATGAAGGGACTCTGACCCTGTGCCATGTGCTGTGTCCTAGAAGCCCATCTGCGGCTCTCCGGAGGGAGGAACGGCTGTGAGGGCCGCGTGGAGCTGTACAACGGCAGCAGCTGGGGGACGGTGTGTGACGACCAGTGGGACCTGAGAGATGCCCAGGTGGTGTGCCAGCAGCTGGGCTGTGGCCAGGCCATGGCCGCTCCAGGCAGTGCACACTTTGGCCATGGCTCTGGGAGTATCTTTCTGGATGACGTGGAATGCCGCGGGGACGAGCCCTCCCTCCAGATGTGCAGGCACAGAGGCTGGGGTGTGCACAACTGCATGCATATGGAGGATGCCAGTGTCATCTGTGCAGGTATGTGGGAAGCAGAGACCACCGCCTTACCCACAGATCCCACCTTGTGTGTTTGGGTGTCCTCCCTTAGGAGAAGCCATGCTTACCTCACTCCATAGAGCTGTGGCAGAGCAGTGAGGTTAGGGGCTTTGGGTGCCTGGTGCTGGAAGGACGAGTTGCACAAAAGCTCGAGAGTTGCACACACACACAGCAGGCTCTCGAAGCTCACAGGTGGAGGTGTTGGTGCAGTGGCAAAGAGCAGGAGTGCGGGACTGTGACGTGGGGAGGATGTAGCAGCACAGGGGACATGTCAGGCTGGTGTCTGGATGGGGAATTGCAGAACAGAGCAATGTGATCTCCCTCCTCATTAGTGCTCCAGCCTTGCTTGTTGATGTCCATTGCCATGAGCCTGCTGCTTTTGCTGCCCTGATCGGACCCCTCCTCCGGAGTTGCCGTACGCTACAGGTAATCCATGCCCACCCAGCTCATTCCCAGCCTTCTAGTGAGCCCCAGAGTGGTATGAGAGGAGAAAAGGGGGGATATATTGCCCTGAGACTCTCTGGAACAGGGTTACTGCTCCTCTCTACCCACGACATCTCTGGGGTCCACAAGAGGTTCCTCTCACGGGCTGGACTGCACTCATTATTACCCTGAGCCTTGAATGTCCTTATACATGTCTATGTCCATGTCCATGTCCATCCACTGCTACAAGCCTGCTGCATTCAGCACCCTTTCATTCAATCCATCTTCTTCCTTGCAGATGAATATTCAAGCTTTCCTCAACAGGTAATCAATACCCACCGAGCTCATTCCCAACCTTGCAGTGAGCCTCAGCCAGGCACGAAAGGAAAAGAGCAGGGATGTGCTGTTCTGAGCCTTCTTGGCTCAGGGTTGCTGCTCCTCACTGTCCGTGGGGAGGGGCTGTGTTATATGGAGGCTGCTGCTGGGTAGGAGTTGAGTCACTGC